GTAATCTTGTACACTTCAGTAAGGTCAGCTCTCACCCACTGGCGTTCAAGCTAGAATGCGTTCAACGACGTTAGTCGGTCTTGGTTGCATACACTCTTCATACTCCATAACATAAGTGTGGCGAGCTTCTATAATTGTTCGAGGACAGCTTTGTCATTTTTGAGATACGGTGACCAAACTTGTGGACAATATTCTAAGTGAGGGCGAACTGTGGTCGATCACAGTGGGATGAAAACTGCTGGACATGAGTTGGCGATCGCGGATTTTAGTCGGTATAACCCCCGCCGTGCTCTAATCGCGGCTTCAACACATTGTGCAGATGAAGCAAACCTGCTAGTGACTTTGATACTTAAGTGTCTCGTTTGCCGTTTATTTGCTAGTTCGATTATCAGTTCATGTGCATCCCTTATATACCTGGGGGTCGACTGGGAAACATTAGCAAGGATATGGCTTTTGAGAACATTCGGTGGTAAATTCCGCTTTACTGCCCATTCGTGGATCTTCAGAATATCCTCCTAGAGGGCGTCCGAGTCCGACGCATTTTCCACCAATTGTATGTCATTTGCATACAGGCAACATGGACTGACCAGCTTGTCGGTCAAGTCATTTACATTTACCAAGAAGAGCAAGGGGCGAGGAATGACCCCTGATGTATTCCACTTAGAGGAGAACTCTTGCCCAACAGTACTCCTCTTACCCTCACTCTGCACGACCTTCCAACTAGGAGCGTAGAGATCCACCTACGGATTCTAGGGGATATTCCGGATTCTCGCAACTTTCAGCCCCAAAGCCTATGGTTGTTAGAATAAGAGGCTTTCTGAAAATCTAGGTAGCATACCTCCACCACTTCCCTTCTATCCAGAATCTCCGTGAGCGTCTAAGAGCATCAGCAGATTGATGAGACAAGATGTATCTTTTGTAAAACCATGTTAAGGCGCTTCGGAAAATTCCTGTTTGCAGAGAAATCGACAGATCCTCTCTGGTATTTGGCGTTGAAGGATTTTGCTGACGACACTAGTCAGGCTTACTGTTCTGTAATTTTCGGACCCCGATCGATTACCAACTTTGAAGATGAGAACTATATTGGCTTCCTTTCGGTCCCTCAAAACTATCCCTGTTCCTAATGAGACCGAACAGTTGGGCAATAGCCGACGCTAGCAATTTGGCCAGAAGTTTTAGGATAACCGGGTGGAGAAAGTCCATTCCCGCGAACTTTGTGTTGTGTAGTTGTGATTGTGCTCGTTCAACAGCGTGGAGCCTAATGTCCTGATCCACCATGGCCACGACCATGGGGTTAAAATGAGGCTCAGATGCCCCATTGTCTGAACGATGAACACTTTGAAACTGTCTGATGAAAGCGTCCGCTATGCCCTTCTCAGTCGATATAACCTCTCTGTTATGGGTAAGTGTTTGAGATGATCAAACTAGGGATGGTCGTTAAACCTCTTGGGGTTCCTTGTAATATCACGTGCTAGGTTGAGCCCAGATTAGACGGGAAATCGTTGCCACCTCAGCTGCTTCGTTTCAAGCTTTTTGTATGACATGAAATTTTCAAACCCCTCCTGCTTTATTATGCCTTCCAAGCTACATACTCGCTTTGGAAATCTCTA